ATGCACATATGTACAGATATAACATACACCAACACCATATAAATCAACCAGATAGTAAACAAGTTCATACTTTAACACCAAGATATAACATATCCCACCACTCGGGGGTACACGATCTTACTGATCACTACATACATATACATCAACTAATTGTCCACCAGTCATTATTACGGGAAACATGCACTATCACCAAGTACACAAGTTAGTTCCCACACTCATCATTCTTACAGTGCATCAAGGCCAAACTGTACCTATCATCTCAACTCAGATCCTCAGTCTATTCTAGTACCAATCTTGCACATTACCGTAACCAATAGGCTTCTAATTCCTATTCCCAAAATCATCACCTACACACTCTATCGATACCTCAAAAGCCATACAGAATTTTCCCTAAAAACTGTAAAACACCCTATATGCCCTATATGCCAAATCATCCCAAAACACCAATTCATTAACAGTGACTTATACTCCATCACTATCAATTACTAGTTATCATCAAACACAAACACACCAATAAACATTATACTTAGCAATTATCCTATACTTCCTACTCTAGAACCAACATTACGGTACATTACCGACACTTCAGAGTCACTCTGAATCTCACCAAGGTCCTAACCATAGTCATTAACGACACTATAGGGAAACAACACATAATTTTCCCCAAAGTTATAATCATGGTCATTACCCACACCACAGTAACAACACAGAATCTCACCAAAACTCTATTTATATTTACTATCAACACTGCAGTAACAACATATAATTTTCCCCAAAGCTATAATCATGGTCATTACCCACACTACAGTAACAACACAGAATCTCACCAAAACTCTATTTATAGTTACTATCAACACTGCAGTAACAACATATAATTTTCCCCAAAGCTATAATCATGGTCATTACCCACACTACAGTAACAACACAGAATCTCACCAAAACTCTATTTATAGTTACTATCAACACTGCAGTAACAACATATAATCTCACTAACATCACCATAATATATATACACCAAATTCACCAATACCAATCAACAATTCATCAATGTCAAGCATCAATTTATCATCAGCAACAATAATAACAAGCATGCCAATATAAAACTTCATAGATCGGAATTTTCCTACGGGGTTAAGGAATCCCCTGTACCCTATACATGTATATACCATCCCAAATCAAGTTTCTCCCCCTTACCTTGTTAATCGGTTGATCGATGCAAGCATGCCAATATAAAACTTCATAGATCGGAATTTTCCTACGGGGTTAAGGAATCCCCTGTACCCTATACATGTATATACCATCCCAAATCAAGTTTCTCCCCCTTACCTTGTTAATCGGTTGATCGATGAAAGAACCCTCCAAGGTTTGGCCAATTCTGATTTTCCCCTGTATCCTTCGTTCTTTGCTCCCTTTTCCGTTCCCTTTTCCGTTCTCTCCTTTCTATCGTTCTTTTTCCACTTTCTCTAACTTCTCACAATGTATCGTAAAACTACTAATCACTCACGTTTCTATTTTAATTCTCTAATCCCAATAATAATAATAACTTAATAATAATAAAAATAATAATAATAATAATAATAGTAATAATAATCCTATTATTATCTCACCAAAATAATAATAATGTTAATACCTTAATAAAATAATAATAATAATAATAATAGTAATAATAATCCTATCATTATTTCACCAAAATAATAATAATGTTAATAACTTAATAAAATAATAATAATAATAATAATAATAATAGTAATAATAATCCTATTATTATCTCACCAAAATAATAATAATGTTAATAACTTTAATAAAGTAATAATAATAATAATAGTAATAATAATCCTATTATTATCTCACCAAAATAATAATAATGTTAATAACAATAGTAACTATAATAAATATAATAATAATAATAATCCCACCAATATCAATATTATACGCTATATTATTATATTCACCAAAACACCACCAATAATCCTCCCATATCAGGGACACCCACCAATAATAATATTCATACCGATGATAATAATAATAATAATAATAATAATAATGATAATAATAATAATAATAATATAATACTATTGTAATATTATAGTAATATTCAACATAATAATAATAATAGTAATACACCCAACAATAATTATAATTATAATAATAATAATACTAATGATAATAATAACAATTATATTAATACTAATAATAAAATAATATTAATAATAATAATCTTAATATTAATAATACTAATATAATATTACTAATATTAATAATACTAATCATAATAATACTATTAATAATAATAATAATAATAATAATAATAATAATAATAATAATAATAATAATAATATTATCTCACCAAAATAATAATAATAATAATAGTAATAATATTATTATCTCACCAAGATAATAATAATATTAATAATACTAATAAATATAATAATATATAATAATAATAATAATACCCCCACCAATATTACTATTATTCATTATATTATCATATTCACACCAAAAATCATAATAATATAATAAATATATTAATAATAATATTATATTCTCCATATTAATAATATTACTACAATTATTAATAATAATCATAAATATAATAATAATAATAATAATAATAATAATAATAATAATAATAATAATAATAATAATAATAATAATACCACCACCAATATTACTATTATTTCTTATATTATTATAAACTCACCAAATTACCACCAATGATCCTCCCATCTCAGGGACACCCACCAAACATCATCAAATACACCCTACCAAAGGGAATATCAACATATAATATTTAAAATAATAATAAAATGACTAAATTAAAATGGGTGTTACACAAACACTCTTAGATTTTTTTTCATTCTAATGTTTTTGCATCTGTTGTTTGCATCTATACTTTATTGCTATATCTTCTGATGTTTGCCTATGTACTCTTGATCTGATCTTATGAATGAATCAAAGTTTTCTCCATTGAATTATCTTATTTACTGTTTCCTTTTAATTGTCTTTTTAAAGTTTTACTTTTTGCTTATGACAAAAAAGGGGGAGAAAATATAGATCTGAACTGTTTAATATAACTTCACCAGAATGAAACTTCAGACATATTTATTCTATCTAACATTTAATCTGACTATTTCAGAACATTTGATAAGTACATTCTATAAAAGAAACTCTGAGTCTCTCAGATCATTTGACTTTTATCAAACTCTGAATCTTAAATCTGCAAGACATTCTGATCTTCAAATGTTAAACGAACAAACAAGATCTAACTCTGAAGTATACTCAAGACAAAAGGGAAGTTTTTATTCCTTTTCTGTATTTAACTCAGGGGGAGATTCAACATCTCAGGGGGAGTTATAATTCTAATACTTTCAATTAAACAAAATTTCTGATGTTTTTGTCATCATCAAAAAGGGGGAGATTGTTAGAACACAGATTGGTTCTTAATAATATCTCTTTGTTTTGATGATAACTATTAGGAAATTTTGTATTTAAGAATTATATACTCTAAAATTTGCTTGAGAGTTTTTACTGCAGATAGTAAAGAAATTAACACTCCAGAAGCAAATTTGAATGGTATACAAGAAAGTAACTGACTCTGAAGCGCCAGATGCACTCATTAGAAGATTTTGATTGCTGCCAACAGAAGATTCTGAGCGTAGCCTCCAGAAGAATCTGAGTCAAGAAGCTCCAGAAGATTCTGAAGCAGAAGCTCCAGAAGAATCTGAAGCAAGCAGAAGCATCTGAAGCAAGTCAGAAGCATCTAAAGCTAAGAAGAATATTGTATGAAGAGTTTTTCAAAGCATAGTTTCTACAGAAGATTCTGAAAGTACTAAAGCTGCCAGTACTGAAGTTCTGTGTCAAATATGCTCTGATGATTAACACGCTGAAAGCACACATGCTGCAGAAAACTCTGATACAGCAAAGTTCTGATCATCATTAGAAGACTCTGACCCAATCAGACTCTGATGAACTTGCTGAAAACTGAAGAAGAAATATTCAAAGATTATATCCGTTGGAGTAAATCAAACGTCTCTTTCCTCATTTATGCTAGACACAAGAACACAGACAAAAAGGATTTTTCTGTGCTTTCTTCTTCTAGGAAAGGTCACTTGATGTGAAGACAAAAAGGCTCAGACCTTTTTGGGACACTCTTCTCAACGCTTAGCTCTCCTTGGATCAGCTGCCTATAAAAGGAAGACTCCACCAAATTCTTCGGTTAGACATTTTGCTGAAAAGAAATTGAAACATTCAAGCTCTCATATTCTCATATTCATTCTTAGAATTATTTGTACTTAAACTTAAGAGAAACATCACTGTTGTGATAAAAGCTTTTTACAAGCATTCTTACTCTTGTATTAGATTTACATTGATTGTAAAAGATTTCCTTAAGAGGATTCAGTTGGAATCAGTAGCTCTTGAGAAGACTAAGAACAGTTGTTTTTAGGTGTTACTATTGTAATCTGTTTGATTAAATAGTGGATTAAGTCCTTGTTGAGAAAGACAAATCACTCTAGGAAGGGTGGACTGGAGTAGTTGAGTTCAACGAACCAGAATAAAAATAATTGTGTTTTTATTCTAAGTTTTTAATCTTCCATACTTATTCAACCCCCCTTCTAAATATTTTCTCACCTTCATAAATGTTTGCTGTCCTTTTCCATTTCTCACTGCAAATTGGGTATCCTTCTTAAATATTAAGGTTTAATAAAAACAATAAACTAGACACTATATTATTTGCATTGATCAAATTGGTGAGTGGAATTCACTTTAATTAACAAATTAAGAGACATGGCATGATTCGATAAGACCTTTGATTGATAAAATAGTGGCTGCTAGCCATCAATCTTGCTTGTTTCTTGCGTCGGCTAAACAAATTAGATTTATTTTCTTTTTTAGGAAATCCACTCACTTAATAATAGAGTACATAACATGACACCATACGACAAGAACTTGTCTCATATAAATTCACAACTTCACCTTATCTGACAGTATCAAACATCAAAATGGAACAGAACAAAGCAACCATTGTGTCACAACTTCAACATTTGAAGCACCAGAGTGGTAAATCTTACACTCAGTTAGGAGAGGAAACAGGACTCACCAATGTCTATGTTGCTCAGCTTCTCAGAAGACAAGCCCAACTCAAACCTGAAACTGCCCCTAAACTCCAGGCAGCACTGCCCGACCTGCCCAAACAACTTGTCGATGAGATGATGAAACCTCCTTTGAGGTCTTATGACCCTAATATCATCCAAGATCCCACTATTTACAGGTACTCTTCACAAACCACACTCTTTTTTTATTTGGTTAAATTGAATTACCAATTAAGATTTGTTAAAACTAATAAAATCCCTAAAATTGAAAATTAGGGTTAGGGTTAATGTTTTGTGGGTTTTGCTGATCTTGTGTTTCTTAGATTGAATGAAGCTGTTATGCATTTTGGGGAGAGCATCAAGGAAATTATCAACGAGGAGTATGGGGATGGGATGTAAGTTTTGATTTATATAAACTTCGTTTTCTTGAACTTGTGATAATCAATGACATATATGGTTTGGTGCTTGATATGCTATTTCTATGAATTTCAAGCGTGGAGTACTCCCTCCATTCTTTATTATAAGCAAATTTTGATTTTTTAGATTCATTGAATAACTAATGTATCTTATTTATATCTAAACCCGATTCATCACTTGTTTAATGAATCTAAAAATCTAAAATTTGCTTATAATAAGGAATGAAGAGAGTATGTTATTGCTTATGTAGAATAAAAAGCCTCTTAATGATCTAGATCCGATATAGAGTCTTAGACCTGTCTGTCTGTCTGATGAATGTAAAATATTTTGGTGGTTGAATAGTAGAGGGAAATTAGATTGACCTATTTGGATTGACTTATTTGAACTTTAGCTACTAGTACAAAACTATTGAGACTGTGCGGAGAGCATATGTAAACAACTTATGGCATGAGATGTCTATATCAGCTTATTTACATAAGCTCTTCAGGATAGTTTACGAAAAGAGCTTATAACTTATATAAAGCAGTTTGATTTTATTTTATTTTTTGTTATAGAAATAGCTTTTACATATGCATTTATAGTGCATATGAAAAGTGCTTGTACTACAAGTTCTTAATCAGTAGTTTACCTAAATAGAGCAGCCTAAGTGGGATTATGTGAGTATGAATTAGATAAATACTTGCCCTGCATGATTAGTGTTTAATGTGCTAACGAAGCCCTTGATTCAACATCTTAGTATTAGTTAGAACATTTCTGAGATTGATCTTACAGGTGATAAAATAGGACATGCTTAATAAGTGGCATGAATGTGTTTTTCTATAAAAATTAACTTCAAAGATTTTCTATCCTGTTATTTACGTATTTGTTGATTTTATGTTTAGCATGTCCGCAATAGATTTTTTCTGCTCAGTTGACAAAGTTAAAGGAGTTGATGGGAAGGAACGTGTGGTATTGACATTCGACGGGAAATATTTGCCACATACAGAACATGTCAGTTGCTTCTCAAATTCTTACAGATATTTTTGTCACAGTTATCTTCCTTCCAACCAATTCTAGAATGATCATCCTTGTGAACAGATATTAGTCACCGGAATTTGATATAATGTCAAAACTTTTCTTATGTGAACAGAAAACAGAGCATATGGTTTCAAGAACAAGGCCACTGGAGAAACAGTGAGAGAATCTTCAGGCCTAGACCAGCATCAAAATCTTCATGCACAATATGCATTTGATCACTTCTACTTTGGTATTGCATACATATATAAAATTAAAACAATAAGGTTTGAATAATTAGAAGTTGCCAACCATGGCTATATATACTTTATAACTGTTTGTGGCTTTGGGATTTCATGGCACTTCTACTACCTTTGTTTTTTTCAATTTAAGACAAGATACTTATTATGGTGCAGTTTGTATTGTGCTTGGTTTAGTTTTTTATTTTTTTTGTTACATTGGTTTAGTATGTTAAACCAACACAATAATAGTTTATGTGTGCATATTTATTTTGTCGCATTTAATAAAATGTGCAATCGTTCATATACAGTGTATGTGGAAGTGTTGAGCAAGGATTTTTTCACGAATACAAAGAATTATTCACAATGGGAATGTAAAGATATGGCAGGGTTAGATCGAAAGCTAATGGATATGTTACCTTTAAAACTTGAAAAAAAAAAAACCAAATAAGCAGAAATCTCAGATTTACATCTGAGATTAATTCAAAAATTAAAGTTGAGATTGAATGATTACACAAAGCAATTATATGTGTTGAATGGGTTTTAATAAAGTGCTAGCAATGAAGAATAATGGTTCTTTAAGAGTGTGTATAAATTTTTGAGACCTAAATGTTCTTACTCTTAAATATGAATACCTCATGTGAATAGTCGATATCTTAATTGATTTGGCATTTGATAATGAAAAAGTCTAGAACAAAATTAGTCGATATCTTTAAGTCTCATGAATGAGTATTGAGGATATAACAAAATTAGAATATCCCTGAGAATTGATGAGACTCACGCAAATGTTAAATTTAAATTTATGTCTAAATTCTAGAACTTAACAGGTTATCTTTAAGAATTAATACTCACGCAAATGTTAAATCTAAATTCATGTCTAAAGTCTAGAACTTAACATGTAATCATCCTAAATACAGATTTGAAGAGTATATGTCTATAGTAGTTCAAATCAAAGATAAACAGGTAAGTAAAGATGACACTCATATCAGACAAATTATTATTTCATATAAAACACCATGATCAGAATATGTACACACGCTTAACCCATTTTACATGTATTCAACTAATTTATGTATGTGAAAATAGTTCTTCATCTCTATTATCACGCATCCTCACAATATCGTTTATGTCAAAGCGTTATCGTGGGCTTTACCATATTAATCACTAAATGATGTCTCATGTTAACAATCAACACAATAATACAAAAGCTTGATACTAGTGAATATCAACTCACAAATTTATGTCTAGAGTTTGCTCTTAGATTAAGAATTTGAAAGAGATTTCTCAACACACACTCAAACTCATAAATATGAAATCAAAGACAACATCAATATTGAATCAAAATTAGTTCACAATACAAAGATTAGAAGAAATACATAAGGTATTGATCGATTACATCCAACCCCAACAAGAGATCAAAACTACTTACTCGAAGATCAAGCTCTGATTTCCTTTGATTTTGGCTTCTCCCTCTTAGGATTTCTGATCTTACCGGTTGATTAGAACATGAGGTGGGTCAAAGAGGATCGTCTGTGATGCTGGGTGTGAAAGAGGAGGAGGGGTGTACCTGCAAGACACTCCGGTGCTAAAGTAAGAAAATGAGCAAGTACATAATATAGGTGTATTAGGGTGAATATTGAATATCTGACCCTCTCAAGTGAGAGGATTTTTATAATGCTCCCAGCGCTTAACCATTGGTCCCTATTTCCGGGGCAAGATAACCGTTTTCCGAAGAATAGGTAACTGCCAGAACTAGCCGTTGTAACGGGCAGACGTGCTCATAACTAGTTGTTGCTATGGGCAGGGGCGTAGTTACAGGTACATGCGTCTTGGTTTTTTCTAGATGGTGGGACCGTGCGTGACGGGCAGAGACTGACGAGGAGAAGTGTTGTGACCAAGGGTAAATTGGCCAGCCTCCCCCGTTGGGGGGCAGAAAGGTAAATTCTCCCCCAAAGTGGTTAGACTTAGGCAATTTGGTCGTTCTGGGAGCAGAAGTGGATTGGACCATGCCTAGCTATCGGGGCAGTCTGGAACAGTAGTCCCCGAAGTCGTTTCTACCGAGCATGGTATGATGACTTAAGGACAGTCTGCTTCCCGGGCATAGTCGTCGTAAGCTACCTTGTGCCCAAAGGAATCTGTGCCCGGGCATCTAAAACGTTGTTTTCCAGAGAGCTTGAGGTCCGGGGAGACCAACGGTTAATGGGATCTAAATAGTGGGAGTGTCACGTGTGCCTCGAGCCGTGTACTGCATTAAATACATGATGATGGCTAGGCTAGGATCATGATGGTGCCTTATCCATGCGTGCTTGTGCACGTTCCTAGAGTTTGACTATAAATAGTGAGAGAGTTTGCTCACTTTGAACTTTCGTTTCTCTCTCCTCTTTGCTCTCTGTTCATCGTTCCCATCCATCTGTCACCGTCAAGTTTCGTTCCAGCCACCGTACCAAGTTCGACCAGAGCTACTCAAACCCAGAAGCTTCTTCCTCGACCAAGTAAGTATGTCGATTCTTTGCTTGTTACCTATTTTTCTAGTTTTTGTGCTTTAGAATGCATGTGGTTAGGGCTGAATTGAAGTAGTTCTAGGGCGTTTTGTGGCGGCTGTTGGTGGAAGATGGTGGTTCAGCCACTTTCTCTACTGTCGGCGCCATAATGGTCATTTAGGAAAGAACAATTTAGGAAGCCTTAAGCTTTTTGTTGATCACGTAGTAGTAACGACATGATGGCGTTTGCTACCGAAGGGAACCATAGATTTTGGTGTGCTTATGAGCTTTCCGTTGGTTCCCTCATGAGAGTTCTGGGTTTTATACGCAGGGATTTTTCCCTGGATGTGTCAGGGAGAACTCCCGGGCACTTCCCCATTTGTTTATATGGGCCATTTGAGTGGGGATTAGGTCGAGGATGTTGTCCTTGGCCCTTTGCGCGCCCTTTCACTTAACTAGCAGTGAAATGGTGGATTTGATTTTGTCATCGAATTCACTTTTGTCCTCTGCTTTTCAGGTAAAGGCAATGTCGCGCAGGGCCGACGAAGAAGAACATCTTAGAGATTTGTCCGAGGAGAGCTCCTCGAAAGATACTGAAACGGATGATGACTCCACGTCCCCTGAGGCTGGAGGGTGACTGCTGCGAGGACCTCGACCGACGAGTGGACTGTGGCCAAGTTGGTGGAGCACGCCTCGCTCTTTGCTTTATATACCGGGGATGACCATATATTCTCATTGTACAGGGAAATGTTTCCTATGTACGAGTATGTTTTCAAAGAGATGGGGATGAGGTTGCCCTTCACAGACTTCCAGTGGACAGTCTTCGTACATTTGGACTTGGCGCCCTCCCAACTGCATCCAAATTCTATTATCTTTATGCGGGCATATGAATTGGTCTGCAAATATTTGTAGATCGAAGCCACTCTTCTGCTTTTCTTCACCATCTTCCATCTCCAGCGACAGGGGTCAGAGAAGAAATTTGGTTGGGTTTCTTTGTAACAGGGGAGGAAATTATTCAAACCCTTCTCTGAATCTATTCATACATTCAAAGAGAGGTTCTTTGTGATCGAGCTTGTGTCGGATAAAGCTACCGGCTCGACCTTCGTTTGGGAGGTCTCTACTGATGAGAACGGGGAGAATCTGATAGACGAGGAAGGCAAGATAGTTTCCCGGAGACTGTTGATCGGTCATCATTTCTACGTTGTTTCCCACACTTATTCGACATCTAATCCACGAATCGGTAATGTTTTTATTAGTTTTTTTTATTGTTTTTGAATAATATTTACTATCTTTATTTTTTTCTCAGACCGTATGTTTTTCTAGTGATTATGTTATATTTGGTGCATTTTACGTGTTTGGTAGTGGTCTTGATGATTTCAAGTGCATATGGAGAAAGGCAAAGGACTCGGGCGAAGAAATAGGAGATTCATGAAAAGTCGGAGGAGTTTTTCAAGCAATTTAGTGGCCTGACACGGGCCGTGTCAGGAGAGGATCTATGAGGCCATGTTGGAGGAGAAAGCAAGGGGCTGACACGGGGCTCGTGTCAACAAGTCCGGCATAAATATTCATCTGATATGTGGAACAAGGAGCCAACATGGCTTCCCGTGTCAGCTGACACAACCCATGTTGGCTTGGGCATGTCATCCTTTAATTTCCTATCATATTTGACTGTTTTGACCCCTGAGGGTATTTTCAGAATTTCCTGACTTCTATATTGGATCTGTTAGTATTTAAGACACATTTGGACAAAGAAAAAAAGAGACTTTTGCAACAAAGGGAGAACGAAAGGTTTTCAAGGGCGGAAGTAATTGAAGATCAAAGTAATCCCCTGTAAGAGCACAGATTGTGTCTTAGTTATATCTCTATGTTTTAATGATAACACTTATAAATTTTGTATTCAAGAATCATATACTCTAAACGTGTTCTAGATTGTTTGCTACAGGCACTAAAAGAAAATTATCTTAAGAAAGCAAAATTGCATCTGAACATTGTTCGTATGAAAGGCTTCATAAGTTCAAGAGCATCTTAAGTGAAGATCTGAACATTGCTCCCAGAAGAATCTGACTACTGTCTCTTGAAGATTCTGAAGAAGGAGCCTCTAAAGCATAGAAGACTCTGCTCTGAAGGATTTACACGCTCAAGCACACAAGCTGCACATACTCTGATTCAGCTCAATCTGAAGAACTTTCAAGACTCTGAAGATCCAGATGATCCGTGATCAGAAGACTCTGAAGATTCAGATTCTCTTGTTAAAAGCTGAACTTACTTTGAAGAAGATTTAAATATGTACGTTGGTTTTTCTCAACAGCTCTTTCCTATTTTGTGCTAGACACAAGGACACAGACAAAAAGGTTTTATCTGTGCATTCCATTCTGAGGAAAGTATTCTGCAAGTGAAGACAAAAAGCATCAGGCCTGTTTCAGCACAGCCTCCAATGTGAAGACAAAAGGCTCTAGGCTTTTCTG